ACTACTGTACCAGAATGAATGCCAGCTATACTAAAAAGCATGGCCAGAGCTCAGCAGAGACTAGTTTTCCTAAATCTAGTCTTCTTGACCTGGAATTTGCAGATCTGGTCACAGTGGTGTGTCTCAGGACTATTTTCAGTGGGTCTGTGAAAAGGCTGAAGAAAAGCAAGTGTAGCATCAACAGCCTAACAGAAACCGTAACAGAGCATAAGCTACCAGAGCAAAACTTCAAACATTTTGTGGATCAAAGGTGGCAAAAAGCACTCCATCAGGGATGAGACTAAAGCAACAGAAAAACCTCCAGTGAGACAGATGAACTAAGAAAACTTTGCTAGGAAACTGAGAAAGCACCTAGAGATGAACTGATTCTTACGCCAGCATACCATGTGGGTTCGTATATTGTGTTCCCCACGGAAGGAACATTAGGTGATACACTGAGCAACATGACTAGCATGTCACCTATATGTTCTTTCACTGTCCCCCAGAGGAAAAAAAGCGTTGATGTTGCTGCTCTGATGTTAGAGAAGATCAAAGAAATAGTACCAATGATGAGCAGAGGATAGGGACTGTCTCTTTTGAAGAAAGTGTTCTCCTGGGCCAGCAGAGCATCGCTGTCAAGCATGGCCTGCAAGCCCACAGCTGACAATGGCATTACAGATGTGATAGAGCCAGGCTGCTCGCTATCCAAACATACACAACTTCTTTTTTTTTTAAATTCTACACAGAGGCCATTACACACAGTCTAGAACATATTTAATGCTTCCACAATAATCTGTAGTTCTCTCTATATTTGCAGCTTTCTTAGCGTTAAAGGCTGCCTGCCCAGACATGTTCCGTTGCTGAAGTCCAGCTGTGAGCCCTGAATAACCAGCAAATGACTGAGGCCAGCAAAAAACATTTATCTCATGTAAGAGAACAGAAGGTGGAATGAAAAGACAAAAGACACAACAGAAACTGGAGGCTAACTAAAAAGACAGGAATGGAGGGTAAACTTTGGTCCTCTGAATAAAGTACTCAAACATATAGGTTTTTGAATCACAGAAGCTGAAGCAGAAGCTCTGTGCAGAAATCTTAGTATAACTTTATGTATTTATTTCATAAAGTTCTTTACATCTACAGAACAAGTCATGAGGAGCAGCTGAGGAAGTTGGGGTTGTTCAGCCTGGACAAAAGGAGGCTCAGGGGTGACCTTCTCACTCTCTACAACTATCTGAAAGGAGGTTGTAGCCAGGTGGGTGTCAGTCTCCTCTCCCACATAACAAGCGATGAGAGGAAACAGCCTCAAACTGCACCAGGAGAGGTTTAACTTGGATATTATGAAAAATTTTTTCACAGAAAGGGCTGTCAAGCACTTAACAGCTTCCCAGGGAATTGGTACAGTCACCATCCCTGTAGGTAGTTAAAAGATGCAGATGTGGCACTTGGGGACATTGTTTAGTGCTGGACTTGGCAGTGCTGGGTTAACGGCTGGAATCAATGATCTTAGAGGACTTTTTACAACCTAAATAATTATGTCATTCTGTGTTTTTGACAAACCTATTTCTGTGAGCTGTCTACACATATGAGACAACTCATAAAGGACTTGTTTTCTATACTCCTGCTTTTGGGCACAGTTTTGGACATTAATCTATAGCATTATCATCTTGTTTCCTTTTTCTTTGTACAATACATAACACAAACAGATACGTCAGTATTATGGTAATGCTATTAAATACAGTAGCTAAATAATTCTAGTGTAAACTGGCAAAATAGCAGGACTCCCTCCGCACGTCATATCTAGTAGCATTCATCAGAAGGGACAAATGAGTAAAAACTCATGTAAAATCTCAGTTACAGCAATAACCCAGGATCTGCTCTGAAATAATTTAATCAGGACTCAATGTTATTATCACAAAAAAATTATGCCAAACAGTGCAGTTTCCCATTCAACAACTGCTTCTTACAACTACAAGCTGCTTACTCCTCAGGCAGAAATATCCTCATACATCCTTCAAAAGCATGAGTCCCTACCATATCTGAGACTCACAACTCTGTCAAAAAACAATTTTGTGGAAATAAGCTATCTAATGCCACTACAATTTGGAGAGAAGAGAAATGCTCAAGTAGGAATTAATTTCTTCTCATGATCAGAAACAAACAAAAACATTATTACAAATCCATGTAGACCCCCAAATGATGCTGACAGTGTGCACTCAAAGTTATGAGTTCACTGGGGAAACCAACATGATTTTTCCTGTTCTCCTCTAGAATAACAGAAATATGCTGTTACTCTAACAGAAACATTTGTCCTACTCTCCAGATGCTTACCATATGTCATGCAGCAGAACTCATATTACACTGCTGTCTTTCATCTGCAATGCAGTTTTCTCTCCTCCACCTAACTAACTGGGACAGCAAGAATATTTCTAATAGAGAAGCACACCTTTCACTTCCCCTCAGAGTGTCAACTGCCTTCCTGGAGCAGAGGGTTGTATTTTATCAAAATCCAGTAGCAGACTTATTTCTACTATATAATGTCAAAAAATCAAGTGAAGCCACTTATTGAAGCCGATGCCTTCCTGACAAGCCAGGTAAGCTGTGCTCCTTATCACCTAGTTCTAAAAATATGTTCTGCTGGACAGGTCAGTGGTCTGTACACTCAGTAGCATCGTGCTGCCTGCTACCATTGGAGTGCCATCAACATTTTCCTGATCAAATGGAACACAGAATACTCAAAGCTATCCTTAAGGTTTACTACTTTGAAAAAGAGTACAGAAGTACTTTTGCAAGCTGTTTATTATGTTGATAACAATACATCATAATAATAATAATGAGCAATCAAGAGTCTTTTGCTGTTAAATATTCCTTTCAAACACTTCCTATGTTGACTGCACTTAGCAAGGGTTTAGTAAGATATGCAATGGTGAACTCAAAAAATATTTCTAGGGCCTCCATTAAGATGACATTTTCTTCATTTGAACATTTCCATTTGTGTATGTGTACACATACACAGGTACATACATATAGACTGTGCAGCAATTTGTAGGAGATATCATATTATCCTTCCCCCCATTACCTAAGCTGAGTATATTAAGTTTAAATCAGAAGAGTAGAAGGATGTTAAACAAGTGAAGGACAAACTAAACAGCAAATAGGTGAATGGAGGGCATTAGGCTAGAGGAACTGATAGAAGCACAGGTGCAGACTCTGCTTTGGATTCTATGGGAAAACTGGTATTGGAGCAAACCCTGGGAAGCAGACTTTATTACTGCTTCTCTGCCCTGCTTGCTGTAGTTCTCTCTCTGGGTTTGATCAGCAAGACATGGGTATAATTTATATTAAAAAAAAAAATCACAGATAGAATACTAAAGGCTTGTCTATTTAGTCCTCCTGAGAATTTTAGTTGTAATCACATACTTGATTTCCCCAAATAATTAGGATTCAATAAACACACATGAGCTACTCAGTAAGATCTAACATATATTACAATCCCTTAGCTGTTTCATCATTTTTTTTTAAAGCTAAAAGCACATCAATTCTATTTCCTCTTTTACAAGCTTTTCCTCTCACAAAAGGCTCAGAATGCAAGTTCTAGTCTGTAACTGAGACTTAGGGGCACTTCTAATAGATGAATACAAAATATTTTCATATCTAACTTAACAACAAAATTAATTTTTAATGTCACTAAATTCACACTTAATCAGAATTTTCCCTGCTACAGTACCCAGTTACAGAGGAATCAATTAAAATATATTCAGTATTAACAAGCTGAATTCATGTTTATACCTTATCTACTTGGAGTAATTATTTTATTCTCACACAAAGACTATTCAATCAGTCACCTGGCAGCAATGTCACATATCCAGGTTGCAACTCCAGACCTGAAGCATCACTATAAATACAACAGTACAGAACAAAACTTCTGTTTCATGTCTTTATGTAACTGTCATTCTGCTTGAGACTAAGACAAAGAAATGAATATGCATATATAGAGATCTACTATAGAAGTAAAAACATATTAGGGGCAGTTTTCATTTCTAAAAACCAATTTGCAGGGTATTCTTGTTAAGTTTACCTTTACTATGTTGCACTTTACAAACAATGGCTTTGTAGGATGTGTAGAAGAATTACTATCAAGTAAGTAGAATGAAAGTATGATCATATGCAATCTTGCAAAAAGTCCAAAACATACAGTGCACAAAGATGTTATGTCCTGCAGTAAGCAGGACAACTTACTTTAGAGGATACTTCAATTTTCTTTTCTTTTCTGAACTATTTTTAGATGCATATGGAACTTGGAAAAATTTAATGACTGCATTTTAATCATGCAAATCATGGAACTGGAATCTGCTTCAATCACATGTATGTTTATAAGCATCCATAACCTAACACAAAACTTCAGTTTCTATATTATACATGACTGCTCCAGAGAATAATTTTATTAGTAAATTGTGTCTAATGGTATAAAACGTGATCTGGATTTTAGGCATACTTCTATCCAGCAGACAAAATCTAGGAGAACTGCAGAGCTACCAAACCTGGTTAGAGTGAGAAAAGGACAGAAGACTTTTCATTATTAATTAGTCTTTTCATAAGACAGTTACTGACCCCTCTCAGGGATATAAAAGTATGTGACACGGTGAAGCAACAGAGATCACAAAGTTGAGGTGGTGAGGAAGAGTGGGATTTATGCTGATGCAGATCAAACCTCAGTATATTGCAATAAGCTTAGAAATCATTTTTATTTTTAAATCCTTTCAGTTATTTTTAAATCCTTTCCAAATGAAACAGATGCAGACGTGAATCAATGGAAATGTGGAACACAGATACTGCGCGTTGTGCCCTGGAAGTTAGCTTTAGAAATTTGCCTACACTCACCTGCTGAGCTCAGAATAGTCACACATAACAGTAACTGTCACAAATACACGTGTGAATGTGCTACCAGTGTAACTTACTTACTTTCTGTTTACATTATATTCTTCTACCAACATAACTCTTGACAACAGTTACTAAATGCTTACCACTGTGCCCAGAAACTGAATGCTTGTCTCTCCGGAGGCATTCCGAGAAATCCGCTGAAAAACACAGATGTAAGAACTGATTAAAGCATCTCCAGAATTTGTAACCATTCCATTTTGTGACATCACCGTAATCAAAAATAATTGAATATCTATAAAACAGACAAAATCATTTCCTTCAATAGAAGTGCTAGAAACCTAAACCATACTTCCTCTCAGATTTTTGGTTTTAGTTCAGTCAACTCAATAAAATTTATTTTTCAAGAACAATGAAAGTAAATATGTCCACGTACAACACAGCAAAACCTTGGGTTCGAATGCCCTGAATAAAGAGGCTTCTGCCATCTCCAAATGTCTGTAATTCTGCATTCCTGTTACTCACATTTAGTATTATCTTCATTCTCTCCTAATGAGACACATTTTAATCTCTTTTTAAAGTGCAAACCTCCAATGATGCTACTTTGAAAACAGAAAAAAAAATGACCTTATGAAATGTCTGGTCACCTACTGTGGTTCAAGAGTTGATTGAAGTTATTAAACGGTCTTCAAATATTACATTGTCAGTAAGCCACAAGACAACGCAAGAGAAAATATGTAACTGATTTCACACAGCATTAAACATAATTTAAATATGCAAAATGTATAAAGAATTCCTTCTTTCTGTGAATTGTTCCCTCCCTCAATGTAAAACATGGGGTTTTTTTCAATTTTTTCCCACTGTTTAAACTACAGCACATATAGTCCTTAGTCATGGAACACAGCCCTAATCTTACACAATGCCAGGCATACACACAAGTACCAAAGCACAGATCTGAGAAGAGTTTAATTGCAAACAAAGAGCTGCACAGAAATCTTCAGCGTTTTAAAGACAACAAATCATAAGAGCAGGGCTGCAAATAATCTTGAAAGATCGTCTAGCCTAGGACCCCCAGCAGAAGCAAAACAACGAGTGTCACTGCCAAATGATATGTGTCTAACCCATTTATAAAATCTTTCAATTGCAGAGATTTCACAGTCTCCCTAAGCAATTTATCCCAGTGTTCCTGCATGTTTACCATTAGGAAGTTTTTTCCTAATAGTTGGCTAAAATAACCCTTACTTCAACTTTATTACACACATTAATTCTCTTTTTCATCACAGATGGGAAACATGGATTATTCCCTTCCTCTTTACAGCTACTTACAGGTATATGAAGAGCCATTATCATGGCTCCCTTAAGTCTTGTCTTTGCTAGAGCAAACAAGAAAGTGCTAGCTATACAACAATAGCTAGATATCCCCCAAAACAATTTTAATAGCAATAAATTAAATTCTGGTCCCTTTTCACTAATGGTGCATGTTCCTCAGCTACACTTTATGAAGTAATAATTACTATAGCCCAAACATGCTTATTTTTTGACTTAATAGGTCACACACTGACATTGCAATCTGTACAATCATATGAAAACAAAGGGTGATGTGCCAAAGCCTGACATATTTCAACAATAATGATTAATGGAATGGAAAATATGGGAAATAAAATTTCATACAAAACCTGACATTTACTTTTTATAAAGGAAACAGGAATATACACTTTTCCCACAGTCTAGGATAAACACAATCAGGTTTTGGAAACCACAAAGAAGAACAAAGTGTCGGCTGCCTACAATGAATGAACCGCATGCCAAAACAAACAAGTCCCAACCACTTGATAAGCTGTCAGAAAATGGCAAGCCGAAAAAAATTAAAGGATTTAATTTCTTTTTTTCCTGGAATGCCCTCCACCCTCGTTAGAGTTCTGTCACTTATTGTGCTACCCTTTTGTCCGCTTTCAAGGGTCATTAGAGACCTTTTCATGTCCTAATAAAAATTCCATTTTTTTTGGCTAATCTCCCTGTCACACAGAAAAACACAACTTAAAAAACGAAACAAAACAACAAGAAAAATAGAGCCCTTTATTAATTTTCTTTAAAGGCTTTCAGAGTAAAGCCAGGTATCTTGACAACTCAACTTATTTTTTACAACTGAAAAGCAAATCATTATAGTATTTTCTCACAGAGATTCCCTTTACTTACAACCAAATAAGCTAGCATTGCAATAGTCAAGCCCTTTCAAAAATAACTTAATAAATAGTAATTAAATATATATATGTATATCACGAAGGCACCTTGTAAAGCCTCAGTCTCAGGACAAGACAAAGATAGGAGCAGTGTTTTTCCTGCTCTGACACTGTTGGAGCACACTAGTATCACATTATAAGATATCCTCACTGCTACTGTTTGCTGTGCCCAAAATACAAAGCATTACATTCAGTTGTCAACTGCATTAAGAGTCAGTACAAATGCTAAAATCCATCTCTCAAATTAACATCCAGTGAGGGGAGGAAGAAATAATGGGGAAAGTGACAAAAATAGTTAACATAGAAAAAGAAATTTCCCTTCTGGGTATATGTAAAAAAACAAAAACAAGAAAGAAAGGTAGAGAAATTCTCCAAGTCACAAAACATATGTTACATCAAGACCAAAAAGAGAACTACCAGGCTTTTGAGAACTATGCTACAAAAGAAGTCAGCACATTATCATAATTAATGTTTCAAAGTACAGTAGTAAATAAATTTCAGCTATTATATGTGATTAGATCTTTTTTTAAACACATTGAAGAGTTATTTCTATTCCACTGGTTGGTTTGTGTTTCTGATATTTGTAAATGTAATAACTGTTTTCAAGAAAATGAAAGGACATGATTAACAATTTTTCTTTTATTTTTTGACTCTTCAGAAAAAGGACCAGCCTCCAGTTTCTCTTGTAAAGTTAGATATATACATATTCTATACCTCATAATAGATGGTTTCATATTGCGTGTGATAACAGGAAAGTAATCAAATAGAGGTAACAATAGAGAATAGCTAATTGTACACATTGTCATCGCTTTCCTAATAAATTGCACATTATTTGTTCAGAGGTTTACAACCAAAAAGCAAGGGAAGTCTACCATTTGTTCAAAGACAAAACGTCACCTTGTGTTTACCTAACAATACAGTAAAATTTACATTATTGACATAAATTCTGTGATTTTAGAAATAACCAATGCTTTTCTAGTCGATTCAACTGACAGAGCTTCAGATTAACTTAATTTCTATCATGTGAGTTACAAGTGTATTTTTTTCCTATGAGAAAGTAACTACCTAACTCAAACCTGAAAAAAAACACAACTTCAAAAAAATGATCTGCTGTCTCAAAGCTGTCAAACAGGTATGAGTGCTATACAAATATTATATGTATCTTTACACACACAGGTTACAGTATGTTATACTGCATATGCCACATATATACAAACAAAATCCTTATGCACACATGTAAAACAGACAAGTGCATACCATCATATAAAATTTATTTGATTCTCCTTCTATATCTTGTGTATGTTATACCAGTTATTTTACAAATAACTATTTTAATCTGTAAATCCCAGTAAATTACCAGAGGTTAGTGTGATATGACTTTAAATTCTTCTGCTTTGCCATAGAAAATTACTTCCACTTAGTTGGGTATCAATGATCTATTCATCCTAAGATGCAGTAGGGTTACAGTCAGCTTTGCATTAAGCCTGCAGTAGCTGAGGACTTGCAGATAAAAGTGATAACAACCTTTACATGGAAAAGGATCAAGAAGCTCAGCTCAAAACATAAAATATGTATTACTGAAAAACGTTCTAAACTGACATAGACATTATTAGACAACAACAAGAACTTAGAATATTTTCTTCTGGTATCTCAGGCTCTCCAGGCTACTGGAAGTGAGCAGCTGCCAAGGAGGAATGATACAAAACCAAAGAAACTCCAGCAGACCAAAAGCAATTTTTCTTCCTTGTTTACAAATGGAAAAGTGATGTGTGAAGTCAGAATGAATATGAGCTGGCAAAGGCAATCATATATATTTAAGTTTCTCATACCCATTCATCTTGAAAAAGTAAAGCCAGAGACCATTTCTTACAGAAAACCTACAGCTTGTCACTCAACATTTTTTGTAACTTTTTCAAGCTATAGCATGACTACATTACTAGTTGGACAAGATGTAGTAAACTATACAGAACCAAAAACAAAATAAGTCCAGAAAATCTACAGATAGGCTATAGTTAAAATTTTGAGTGAAACACGGGTAGTTTCCCAGCATGATGCTGTTTTTCAGAATGCAGAATTTCTTGCAGCCCAGGCCTATTGCTTCATTTCAACTGCTTGCTAACAGAAATTCTGAAACATCTTATGCCATGAATTTAAAATGGAGAATGCTATCCACTTTTTGGGCAATACTTATAAATACTTGAAAATTCAACCTAGCAAAACACAGGTTAGAATCATCCTCAGACAGGTTTCATTAAAAAAACAAATTATTCCCATGATAGGGAAGTCAGTGGACAAAACCCCACAGTATTTTACCTGTAAAGTTATAGCAGATTCATCTGCTGTACTTATTCTATGAGAATTTGGGTATGTGTGGATGCTTGGACATCTGGAAAGCTCCATTTCCCCCTAAGTCACTCTTACCTTTGGAGTCCCACAGTAGGGTCAGAGAGGAGGAGAAAGCTGCAGAAGTACCTGTGAAACCATTAAATCATCCTCTCGTCAAAAAGCAAGGATTGATTTGGTCTTATCACACTCCTTTTGCCTCTCCTTCTAGAACCTCCCTAGAATGCAGAAGTTCACTTCAGTACTTCCTCTCCACCATGCAAAAATTGCAGTCAAGGCATGTAATCCCAGACTAGCAATGTGACCAAATTTTCTTGTATGCTGTAGACTTTCTGCATTGCACTATTATGTTCAGACTTGTTCAGCCTCACAAGTCTTTCCACTTTGGGAATCACCTTACTTTTTCACAAGTTAATACATTTTGCATTGATGGTGTAGAAAGTTCTCCCCTTAGAGCATGAAACTACAGATAGGAAGTTAGCCCGACTTCATGCACTGCTCTGCCCTTAGCCACTACCAGTTTCAGTTCACACTTCATAGTAAATAAAGCCTCAGCAAGTTGTTCTTCCTCAGGGCATGTCCACATTTTCCAGGTTTTTACAAAGGCAGCAGTCATC